GGAGGAGGAAACGGAGGAGGAGGAGTGGGAGGAGGAAAGTGAGGAGGTGGAGGAGGAGGAGGTGGAGGAACGTGAGGAGGAGGAGGAGGAGGAGGAGGAGGAGGAGGAGGAGCAGGAGGAGGAGCAGGAGGGGGACCAGTGTTCAAACCCACGACTCATCAATGATATTGCAGTGAGCCCCCTCTCCTCACTTCACAGGCCCCTGCGAGGGTAATTTTCACTGAAGGAATTGCCCGGTTGGAAACAATCTTTTGAACATCTCGAATTTTAGAACGTCATTCCTGGGATGCCATCGCCGCGAATCACCGTTCCTGTTGCGTCTTGACGGCCCTGAAACGTGCCAGAACACCACTCCTGGGACTTCAACTCCACGGACCAACGCGCCCTGACAGTCTGACATCGTGCCCAATCCATTGTTTCTGGGAGGGAAACATGCGAATTCTCGAAATGGTGTAAACTCTTACAACGAGTGTGCGCGGCGCTAAGGCGAGAGCCACAGTTTGAAAAGCCATCCGCCCTCTATTCGTGAGCCTTCTGCAATTTTTCAAGACGAGCGTGCGCGGCGCCAAGGCGAGAGCCACATATTGAAGATCGCCTCCAGTTGTGAAACTCCCATAGCTTTTCCCAACTATCCTGTGGTTGGGTCCTCGTTCTGAAGAGACAGCGGCCCGCGTCCCTCCCTCCCTCCCTCCCTCCCTCCCTCCCGCCTCCTCCTCCTCCTCCTTCTCCTCCTCCTCCCTGCGTTTCACCCATTCAGTACAGCGTTTCTTGGCCCCATAGGGAGCTCCACCGAAGGCCCCAGTGGCAGGGTTTGCATGGCGGCCTCGGGCCATTTCGGCACACCCCTCACGAGGATCGCGGCCCCATAGGGAGCTCCACCGAAGGCCTCCAGTGGCAGGGTTCGCATGGCGGCCTCGGGCCATTTCGGCGACGTGGCCCCACTCCACTCAGTGGCAGGGTTCGCATGGCGGCCTCGGGCCATTTCGTCACGAGGATCGTGGCCCATAGGGAGCTCCACCGAAGGTCCCAGCGGCAGGGTTCGCATGGCGGCCTCGGGCCATTTCGGCACACCCCTCACGAGGATCGCGGCCCCATAGGGAGCTTCACCGAAGGCGCCAGCGGCAGGGTTCGCATGGCGGCCTCGGGACATTTCGGCACACCCCTCACGAGTATCGTTGCCCCAAGGGAGCTCAACCGAAGGCTCCAGCGGCAGGGTTCGCATGGCGGCCTCGGGCCATTTCGGCACACCCCTCACGAGGATCGTGGCCCCATAGGGAGCTCCACCGAAGGCGCCAGCGGCAGGGTTCGCATGGCGGCCTCGGGCCATTTCGGCACACCCTCACGAGGATCGTGGCCCCATAGGGAGCTCCACCGAAGGCCTCCAGTGGCAGGGTTCGCATCGCGGCCTCGGGCCATTTCGGCACACCCCGTACGAGGATCATGGCCCCATAGGGAGCTCCACCGAAGGCACCAGTGGCAGGATTCGCATGGCGACCTCGGGCCATTTCGGCACACCCCTCACGAGGATCGTGGCCCCATAGGGAGCTCCACCGAAGGCGCCAGTGGCAAGGTTCGCATCGCGGCCTCGGGCCATTTCGGCACACCCCTCACGAGGATCGTGGCCCCATAAGGGGGCTCCACCGAAGGCCTCAGTGGCAGGGTTCGCATGGCGGCCTCGGGCTATTTCGGCACACCCTTCACGAGATCGTGGCCCCATAGGGAGCTCCACGGAAGGTCCCAGTGGCAGGGTTCGCATGGCGGCCTCGGGCCATTTCGGCACACCCCTCACGAGGATCGTGGCCCCATAGGGAGCTCCACCGAAGGCGCCAGTGGCAGGGTTTGCATGGCGGCCTCGGGCCATTTCGGCACACCTCTCACGAGGATCGTGGCCCCATCGGAGCTCCACCGAAGGCGCCAGTGGCAAGGTTCGCATGGCGGCCTCGGGCCATTTCGGCACACCCCTCACGAGGATCGTAGCCCCACAGGAGCTCCACCGAAGGCGCCAGTGGCAGGGTTCGCATGGCGGCCCGGGGCCATTGAATTGCGGCGCACCCCTCATGAGGATCGTGGCCCCATAGTTGTGCTGCTTCAACAACCGCGCCTGGGCGTCGTACTCCGCCTTGTCGACGTGCAACGCTACCTCCTCCCTCATTGCTCTCAAAGCCCTTTCCTGCTTCTGCTCCTCGGTCAGAGGGACGCCGTCCTTGTCGTCGCCGGCGCCCGGGAAGACGGCCACGAACGTGTTCCTGAGCATGTCGGGCTCCGGCGGGAAGCCGTGGCCACATAGGGAGCGCGAGCGAAGGTGGTTTTTCACAAGTGCAGTATTCACAACTGCATATGGTTGGGTCCTTCGCCAGGCTAATTTAATCGCTTCGCTTATTCCGCCGGCCCATTTTGCATCACTGTGGCTGCGTGGTGGTGTGCTCGTGCCCAGGGGGAGGGCAGTACTATCTTCGAGGGGATCTTTGGAGATGTGGCTCGCGCCCTTTCGATTGCCCCAGAGGGCGCCAAGATGGCTCAAGAGAGCTCTAGAAAAGTTTCGAGACGTACCTGGGTTGTGGGTCAAAGTCCTCGTGGATGCTTCTTGGGGTCTCCTCGGAGGGAGCCTCTGGGGAGCTTCTTGGGGGCTTCTTGGGGGCCTATTGGGGCTTCCTGGGGGCATATCAGGAGTCTTGAGAGCCTCCTTTGTGGTCTCTTGGGGTCCTCTTGGAGCCTCTTGGGGGGCTCGTGGGGGCTTCTTGGGGTCTCGAGGGCGCCTCTTGAAGCCGAGGGCTGGAAATGTCCGTTCGGGTTCTCTGTCTGGCCCCCTCGTGGGGCCGTCCTGGGGATATATTGGGCCGTCTTGGAGGCCTCTTGGGCCGTCTTGGGGCCCTCTTGGGCCGTCTTGGGGCTCTCTTGGAGGCCTATTGGGCCGTCTCGGGGCGATCTTGGGGGCCTCTTGGGCCTTCTTGGAGCGTCGGGAAGCCGAACATATGAGAACGCCCAAATCCTTCAGAGACCGAAGGCAAATCGATGGTTTTTGCCTCCTGAAGCCCTCTTGAGACCCTTCTTCGAGGCCTCTTTGAGCGTCATGGGAGCGTTTGCGGCTGTCTTGGACCGATATGTCGGCGATTCGGAGCCCTCTTGGACCGTCTTGGGGACTCTCGGGGCCCTCTAGTAGTAGCGCTCGGGGGCGTCTCAATGCCGCGCCCAAAAGGAAAACCCATCTCTGGGTAGTACCGGCCGGGGTGCTTTCCGTCCGGGGATCCCCAGGGGGGGGGGGAGGAAGGAGGGAGGAGGGAGGAGTGAGGATAGGGAGAGGGAGGAGTGAAGAGGAGGGAGGAGGGAGGGAGGAGGAGGGAGGAGGATGGAGGAAGGGAGGAAGGAGGGAGGAGGGGAGGAGGGAAGATGGGAAGGAGGAAGGAGAGAGAGGGAGGAGGAGGGAAGAGGGAAGAAAATGGAAGGAGGGAGGAGGGAGGAAGGAGGAGGGAGGGAGGAGGATGGAGGGAGGGAGGGAGGAGGAGGGAGGAAGGAGGAGGACGGAACAGGGAGGAAGGAGGGAGGGAGGAGGGAGGGAAGAGGGGGGGGATGGAGGAGGGGGAGGAGGAGGGGGAGGAGGGAGGAGGAGGAGGGAGGAGGGAGGAGGGAGGAGGGAAGAGGGAGGAAGGAGGAGGGAGAAGGAAGGAGGGAGGAAAACGGAACACGGAGGACGGAGCAGGGAGGAGGGAGGGAGGGAGGGAGGGAGGGAGGGAGGAAGGGGGGGAGGGAGGGAGGGTCCGTAGCCTTTTTGGCTCAAGCCATTTTGGCTCAAGTTCCAACGTGGCTCCCGGCCTTGGAGCTTGATCGCAGCCAAGGGGGCGGCTCAAGGCCCCCGTGCTTTCAGTGTTCACAGATGTGCTCGTCCCCAGGTGCCTGCCAAGGCTGGGCGAGCCTCCATTCTGGTGCCTCCAAGCGGCTTCCCGCGCTGTGCCTAT